CCCGGGGCCCCCTCTGCCGGCGCGGGGATCGGCCCGCGGTACCGACTCGGTGGCTGGGCAAGGCCGAGGCTGTGTAGGCCTCGGGTCCCGCCCGCCCTGACGCCGCCGAGCTCCGCGCTTGTGGCCCGAGAAACCTGCCGAGGAGAGGAGATGGAGCTGGGGACGCCGCGCGGGCCTCGGAAGCGGCCGGCCCCCCGGCTGGGCTCCTGGTTCCGGCTGCCCTTCCTCCTTCGGCGAGGGCACGTCCGCCCTTCCGAGTTCCCGACGCCTCCCTCTCGGGAGAGCTCCGGGGACCCCGCGCCGCCGGCCTCCGCCCGGCCCGAGCCTCGCACCAGGTACTGGACCAGATTGCTTTCCCAGCTCTTTGCCCTGCTGCCTTGCTTGCTCCAGAAGCTGTTTATTTGGAGCCAGCTCTTCGGGGGCATGATCCCCACCCGATGGCTAGATTTCGTAGCAGGTTACAGCGCCCTGAGAGCCTGGCGAGGACGGGAGGAGCCCGCCACTCCCGCGGTGCAGAAATCTTTGAGTTCACTGCGGCTGGACTCTGCGGAAGACTTGGTCGTCAGCCCCCTTGATTGGCTAGAGGAGGGACTCCAATGGCAGTACTCGTCCTCGGACCTGGAGGTGAAATTTAAAGCCCCGGAGAGAGCTGTGGACTCCGCAGCGCACGCTTTTCTCCTGGAGCAGCCGCTGTGGGGAGTGGAGTTGCTGCACCGGGGTCTTCCAGCCGGCCTGGTCTCCCACCGAGAACTTGGCTCTGCGCCCTCCGGGCCCCGCCACGCTCAGAGCGTAGGTGGTGGTTTCAAGGTGGTGTCCTATCTCCTGAACCCTTCCTTTCTGGACTGCCTGTCCCAGCTAGAGCTGCGCCCGCAGGGCGGCGTGGGCGCCGGCCAGCTCGTGGATCTCCGAACACTACCCCCAGAGAGCTGTTGCCTCTTTGAAGATGCTTGTCACCCCCAGCCGCTGCGTGCCGAGATCTCGGCCACCGCGTGGCAGAGGTGCCCCCCTCTTTCTACAGAAGGCCTGCCGGAAATCCACCACCTCCGTACGAAGCGGCTGGAATTCCTTCAGGCTAACCACAAGGGGTCAGAGTTACCCACCCCTGACCAAGATAATGGCTACCACAGCCTGGAGGAGGAGCATAACCTTCTCCGGATGGACCCACCACACTGTACAGATAACCCAGCACACGCGGTGTCCACTCCCGAAGCCAGCCCGGAGCCCACTGAGAAAAAGATAGACTTGTTGATGCAAGAAGTTTCACAAAGCCCCCAGAGAAGCAGTCCGACTTGCGAGTTGCCTGTGGAAAAAGAAGGGGAAGGGGACCACACTAGTGTAGTCGGCTGCTCAGACATAGAGGATGGCCTGCCTGTGTCTGCCAGACCAGTTTGTAGCAACAAACTGATCGATTATATTTTGGGAGGTGCCTCCAGTGACTTGGAAAGCAGCTCCGACTCGGAAAGTGAGGATTGGGACGAGGAACCCGAGGATGATGGTTTTGATAGTGATGGCTCTCTGTCCGACTCGGAGGAGGGACAGGACTCTGACGGGCTTCACCTTTGGAACTCCTTCTGCAGTGGAGACCCTTACAACCCCCAGAACTTTACCGCCACCGTTGAGACTGCTACCAGACCTGTGCCTGCAGAGCCCTGTGGTTCTGGGAAGTCCTTGTCGGGCAACTCGGATGGAGGAAGTGCCTGGGCCGGGCACCTTCCTGAGACCCCCGAGCATAGTTCTGGGGAGGAAGAGGACTGGGAATCCAGTGCAGATGAGGCGGAGAATCTTAGGTTGTGGAACTCTTTCTGCAATTCTGAGGACCCCTACAACCTTCTAAATTTTAAGGCTCCTTTTCAAACATCAGGGAAAAACTGTCAAGGCTGTCAGGACTCAAAAGCATCTCCTCAGGCCACGGAGGCCTTTTCTGGGTGTCATAACTTACTTTCTTGTAAGGTACAACTGTTAGAAAGCCAAGAAGATAATTGTCCAGACTATGGGCTGGGTGAGGCTCTTTCTGGAGAAAAATACACCCATATCAAAAGAAAAAAGGTTTGTTTCTTCCCTTTTACAGGACTAGTGATTTGCTGTATTTTGATATGGTTACTATAGCAGCATGACTTTTCCTGCGAGGCCTAGTTTTACACATATTTTTGAGAAGGCCTCTGAGCTCATGTGCTTGGATTGAGAAATACTCAAATGACCCTTCTTCCCAATATAGAGAAATATTCCTATCTGAAAGGATGCCAGTATATAGATGTTAGCAGGGCTGTCATTTAGATTGGTGGATCCTGAAGTTTAAAAATGGTTCACATGTATTTGTTTGTGAATACTTAATATTTTATTTTCATGACAACAATGTCTATTCCTGTCCATTAGAACCCAGATGAATACTAGTAATTATTATATTATATTATATAATGATATGTCACTAATAATAACCCACATAGCAAGTTAGGGTTATCTAGTTGTGTGCCCAGAAGGGAAGTGACTGTGGTGGTGTATGCCTGTAATCCCAGCGCTTGGGAGTTAGAGGCAGGTGGATTATTTTGTGAGTTTTGGAGTCTAGCTTGGTCTACATAGTGAGTTCCAGACTTGCCAGGGATACATGGGTAGGATCTTCTCTCAAAAAAACAAAAAAAACCAAAACAATACTCCTGGCTTTCCTGCATCTCCTGTCTCCCAAGCTGGCCAGAAGTTTTAGCACTGGAATTCAAGCTGGCCTCAAAGTCGTGTTGAGCCTGGTACCCCAGCCTCCGAAGTGCAGGAGTATTTATGAGCCTCCGGGCAATTGTATAACTTCATGGGACAGTTTGCTCTTTGATTATATTATTATTCAATTTACTTTATGTTCAGGATATTTGAATTGCTTTATTTCTCTTACTGCTTTTTCAGTTGGAGTTATTAACTGAGAATACATGCCACCCCCAAGCACAAAGATGTCTTTTGCTGTTGAGGGAGTTTCTTTAGTTTCTCACACTTGCATCAGTGCCTGTCAGATGGACAGTGTTGTGAGCCTGGCTCCAGAGGGCCAGTTTCAAGACTATTCTCGGGACAGGAAATATCTAAAGGGTGGTGATCTTATGTCTTGCCTATCTAGAGGTATAAGAAGTTATGCTAAAAATTAAATTTTAGTTCATGTTTCAGAATGATATATAATGAGAGAGCTGTTTGTTCGTTTGTTTACTTATTTTGCTGCAGAAGGAGGCTAGCCCCTTGATCATCCTGAGCAAGGGGTCTCCCCCTGAGCCACATCTCCAGGTCTCATTTTATTCTCTTCAGGACAGGCAGAATGCTCTTGAGAGGGAACAGGCAAGAGCAGAGTGGAGCCAGGGCAGGAGTGTTCGGCCTCTGCATGCGGTCTCGTTACTGCACTCCCAGGCCCTGGTCCCCCCTACTTATCCAACGGGAATCCTAAGATCTGGTGTAGAAGTGTTGCAAGTCCTGCTGCTCTGTCTTGTGAGGTTGGGGGTTGAATCCTGTTAACCATGCACGTCACTACTGAGCTGGTTACACCTCCAGCCCAAGTTAGCGGAAGGTAAAGGAGTAAAGGAAACTCCTGATTCATTTCCATGCCTTTGAATGGCGAAGGCCAACCTCGTGTCTCAGTTTAAAGACTGTTGACTGAAATACTAGAAGAGGTTGTGCCTAAGTATGACAGTTATTTAACAGCCCCTGGCTACCTGCCCTTCTTTACTTGATGGGAATAGTGAACAGCGGTGCCAGTTGTTCGAATGAGGCCTGGAGACCATGGAGTGTAGAATACTTGGTGTACTGGCAGAACAGCAGAGTGTAGACTCTCATCCTCGTGCCCCGGGACTTGGCTGGTCACTGACATCGATTCCTTGTCTGTACAGTGGTGATGGCGCTGGTTCATATCTCACTGGGTTGGCCTGAGGATCAAATGAGAACATTTGTAAACTTCTGTGAAAAAAGTTTGTCATTTGGCAAACAGTATAAAAGTGCTTATTTTATTTATCTTAGTGACAAGGACTTGGTAACCACTAGATTGCAATATCTAGTAAGGTGTTACATGCCTACTAATTGTCCTCAGGGGCATTCCTGGGCCTGATGTAAAGGGAAGGAAAGCTATAGGCCTCAGTGGGATTAGCTGATGTAACTATTAAACATGCTTTAAAACACCTTTTTTTTGGAGGGTGGGGGGGATGGAGGATCCCATGTAACACATTCTGGCTTCGTGCCCCAGCCATCCTCGGCTTCTAGTGCTGTGGTCATGGAGTGTCGTGACCTTTTCCGGGTTGTAGTGGTTACTTCCTGTGTACTCTTTCATTTGGGGGAAAGAATACTAAAAAAGCCGAATTTCCTTATTTCTTTAAGAATGAAAGGATAGCAGGGATTAATAATAGGGAAATCCAGAGTTCCCATCTGGTTCGTTTTTCAACACCACAAAACAAGAATTGGACTTGAAGAGACCCAGTCTGTAGATGAATAAAGAAATACACACTGATTTTTGCAGCATTGTTAGCTGTTTCATTACCTTCGTGTTTCGGGGGCACAAAGATCCTTTTTGGTGTCAGCTAGTTCTAAGATCTAGAGTAATTAACACTGGGTTTGTCTTTCTAGGTAACCTTCCTCGAAGAAGTTACCGAGTATTACATAAGTGGAGATGAGGATCGCAAAGGACCATGGGAAGAATTTGCAAGGGATGGCTGCAGGTTCCAGAAACGGATTCAAGAAACAGAAGATGCCATTGGCTACTGCTTGACATTTGAGCACAGAGAAAGAATGTTCAGTAGACTCCAGGAGCATGTTTCTGAAGACTTCCTAGTGTTCAACAATGTTAGGATGAGTGAACAGCCTGTGGCCCTGGCCCACACTTTCTCCTGCTTGAGAGGTTTCTCTTAAAAACAGATATTGGCAGCTGTCCTTGGACATGTTTCTAAAGAAACAACTTGTATCTGGTGATGTGGTTGAATTGTTTTTGGGTAATGTATCTCTTTAGAAACACCAACTCCGATAATGAAGGATCTGTAATCTTTAATCTTCTCTTTTCCTGTTTAGTTGGATGTGGTTTTTGTGTTTTTGAGACAGGGTCTTACTACATAATTCTGGTTGGCCTAGGTCTGTGTGTAGACCAGGCCGGCCTTGAAAGTGGTATCATCTTGCCTCTATCCTGTGCCACTGTGCCCAGCTGGAAGTGATTTTAAATATCCTTCGCTTCATTGAGGTGAAAAGGGACCCTCTGAGTCATTACTTTGCACTTTCAAAACTTACGGAGGCAGGGGGCAGCCAGGCCACATAGTGGCCTCTGGGCCAGTTGGGGCACAAGCTGAGACCAGGTCTTAAAGGACAAAAATAAGAAAGGGGTTTTGGTTTTGGTTTTTCAAGACAGGGTTTCTCTGTGTAGTCCTGGCTGTCCTAGAACTTGCTGTAGACCAGGCTGGCCTTGAACTCCTAGAGATCCGCCTGCCTCTGCCTCCCATCCTGAATACTGGGATTAAAGGCGTGTGTCACCATGCCTGGCACAAAAGTTTCTTACCAGGCCTGTAATTCCAGTTACTTTGGAGACTGAGGCAGGAGGATAGAAGATTGAAGGTCTGCCTGGGCCACATAGTGAATTCAGGGCCAGCGTGGGTAGTTTAGCAGTACCTTATCTTAAAATGGAAAAGGAGGCTAGGAGTACAGTTGAGTAGCAAAGGGCACTTGCCTACGTGTGCAAGGCTTTGGTTCAGTTCCCACTACTGCAAAAGGACAAACATTTTCCTGGAAAACTATTAAGGTTTAAGCCTCATATTCAGTTCTAATTTAAATTATTCAGTTCTAATTTAAATTATCTAAAAGCTTTGGGTTCTGGAGTGCTGAGCTTTGCTTGCTTACATATATATGTATATATGTGTGTATATACATAAATATATATGTACATAGGTGTATATATGTACACACATATATGTATATATATTTTTTTCCCACTTTCATAGATTTGACTTAAGGCTAAAACCTATTGTACATGTTACCAACTTAAAAGACATTGTTATATCACTTGAAAATATGGTGGATTCTCCTGCCCCCCCCCCCCCTTTTTAATTTTTCTTTTCTTTTTTTGAAGAATTGGTCTTGTGTGTTCTAGGCTAGCCTTGAACTCACTACTTAGCTAAGAATGACTTTGAAAGATCCTCTTGTTCTCTTGCTAGGATTGCACACATGTGTGCCACACATCCAGATGGTCTTCTCTGTCCAGGTCTATTTAATACACTTCTAAGGACCTCCACGCACCCCAGGTGCAGTACTCTCTTGACTGGGAAAGCTGTGTTGGTGTGCTTTTTAAAGACAGACACTGTGATGCCCAGCTGGTCTGCCAAACTTTGACATGTAGCGTATTTGATTTCTTTGCATGCTATCCATCTGGAAGGTTTCTGTGTTGTATTCCAGTTGAATGTGGCTCTTCATTCAGCTTTCAGTGGGTGGGAATGTAAAGCACTAGGACGTAGTCATTGCATTATAGGTATTCAGTTTTTAAACTTCAAAGCCTCGAGTTTTCCTAGGAGTATGCAGACATCTCTGAAATGCAGTTTTGTTTTATGTACTCTAACAGAAAGCCAGTGTTACTCATTCCCTGCCTCGGCACTGTCACTTTTAAAACCTGTCATGGTGACACTGTAAACTTGGATTGGGCAGTTCTGAATTGTTAAACACAGACTTCAGTGTCCAGGTTTATTGTGTTCTATTTTATAGAGGAGCAGTGGTGTGAGGTCTGTTCTTTGAGGAAAGCATAGAGTATAGCTAGAACAGCCCGAAAGTCTTAGTGTCTTTCCCAAAGCTTGCTTTTGATTAGGATGCCTGCATCGATTAATCGATCAGGATGCCTGCATCGATTAGGATGCCTGGCTTATTCAGTTAGCTTTATCTGCTGTGTGTATGCTAGGTTGAGGTATGTTTAACCACCTTTTAACTGTGTGCCTCCTGTCATGGGTAGTGGGAACACAGACAAAAGAGAGGGCCACTAAATTGGTCATGGGGATGAATTTTCCCAGAAGAGCTCGCAGCATAACTACCTCAGCTTATGATCTCCCTGGTTATTCCGTTTGGTGTGCTCTAAGTCTGCCTCCAGTGGTGACGATGTTCATTCACACACACTAAGAATGCAGAACCCTCATTTTGTGCACCTGCATTTAGTGAACCCCAGAGTGTGTTCAGTCTGGAATAGTGCTGTGGGAACAGGCTAGTTAGGATCGGTGTCCTTTGGGAAGCAGGCGTGTTGACTTAGGAAAACTGTGACAGCATTCTTTTAAAACCAGACTGCAGCTTAGCATTTGATTCAGACATTTAGGTGTTTTGTGTTCCTGAAACCCAGGAATGGGACATCTGTACATTTATTGGGTGTTTGAAATTGTTCCAGAATTGTTCCAGATTCCACCTTCACTATCTAATGAGGAAATCCTCTGGTACACTCCCTGCCGACAGACGGGGTCACATGGTGGCAAGGACCAAAGGATGCTAACAGATTGACTGAAAGAGAAGATCCAGGTTACTGTCCTTGTCATCCCAGGCCCAGATGTTAAGGCCTCTCCCTCCCAAGGAAAGAACCTCCAAGGCAAGGCAGGGCCTGGAGGTTTTAGCAGAATATTTTAAACATTCAAGTCTTGCAATGGTGCTTTAAAGATCTGGGTAGCGTGTGAGAAGCTCTGTACAGATGGGGGTCCCCATTTCTGAGTTCTGAAGTGTGGAAGCCCTTCATCTGTAACTTGAAATCAGAACTATCAGATTTTATTTTTTATAATTTAAGGAAGGTGAAGTTTGGGAACAAGATTTGAATGGGCTTCTTCAGATCAATGATTTTAAATGTAACTAGTAGAGATTTTATAGCTCAGATTATATTTGTATATAATTAACTAATCTGTAAATTGTAATAAATATATTTGCAATTATTAAATGCTGTGATATTTTTATGTATTTTACATTGGTTTTGGTATTATGGGACAAGGTTTTCAGAGTTAAATAAATCAGTTTTGTAGAAGTGCTTTAGGCCATCTGGACAGACATCTGGGTCAGATAAATGGCTTCTCAGCTAGTTGAGGGGAAGACGTGGGGAGCATAAATGTAATTGAAAGGTACTGTCTTAGTGATAGGATAAGTCAGATTTTTTTTTTTTTTTTGTTCTTTTGAGACGGTTTCTCTGTGTAGTTTTGGTGTCTGTCCTGGATCTATCTCTGTAGACCAGGCTGGCCTCAAACTCACAGAGATCCCCCTGCCTCTGCCTCCCGAGTGCTGGGATTAAAGGCGTGCACCACCACCGCCCGGCTGCTAAGTGGCTCTTAAAGAGTATGAATTCTGCCAATTGGGAACTCGTTTAGTCCCAGCACTGGGAGGCAGAGGCAGGCTGAGCTCTGAGTTCGAGGGCGGGCTCCAAAGCTACACAGAAAAACCCTATCTTGAAAAACCAAAAAAAGGTATGAACTTTTGGGGGTGGTTTTGACAGCTTTTGCTAAGTATGCCAATCCTGCTTCAGCCTCCTGAGAGCAGAGTGCAGAGCGCACCACTGCCAATCCCTTCTAAGAAGTGAGATTTCATTGTGAAATCAGGACCAGCTCTAGCAGCTGCCACACCCCCTTCCCCTCTTCCCTTCTCCTTTCTTCCATTTGTCCAGTGTTGGGGGTCTTTTCAAGTTCTTGGTAGCCCAGGAAGGTAGGAAGGCTGCGGAACAGGAGTGAGGGGTAGTTGTGAGCTGCCATGTGGGTCCTAGCAATTGAACTCCAGTTTATGCAGCCCCAGAACCAGCACCTTTCTTTTTAAAGATTTTTTTTTTTGTGTATATGGATGTTTTGTTTGCGTGTATGTCTATCTGCAAACCAGAAGTCATCTGCTTCCATGAGAATATAGTTCTAGATGGTTGTGAGCTGCCATGTGGGTACTAGGAATTGAACTCAGGACCCCTAGAAGAGCAGCCAGTGTTCTTAACTGCTGAGCCATCTCTGCAGCACCCCCAGGACCTTTTCTAGGTTAGACAAGTATCCTACCACTAAGCTACAACCTCAGCCTTTTTTTTTTTTTTTTTTTAACTTTAAGAACAGCAACAATATAAACAAGCTTTGTGTTTTTGTGAAGGAAGCTTCTTTGTGTGTGTGTTTGCCCAGTGGATCCCCAGAGCTGGAGTTAACAGGATGTTATAAGCCGCCTTGGGTGCCAGGAACGAATAAACTCCAGGGCTCTGCAGGCGCAGCAGGTACCTTAACTGTTGAGCAATCTCTCCAGCTACTTTAGCAGATAATTTCAAGCAGCTATTTAATACTGATCTCACCAGTTCGGATCATTAAATGGGTTTGGGGCTATCGTGGTCTGCCGGACTCTTTGGAGTTACTTCTCTGCTCCCACCTTACGTAGTTCTAGAGGTAAAACTCAGGTGGTCAGGCCTAGATGGCAACCCCAAGCCATCGAACTGGCCCTTCATCTTCCTTTTTTGAGATATCGTTTTGATGCATGGACCCCCTGCCTTTGCTTTTCAGGTGCTGGCATTACACCACGACCACCACCCCCCACCCCCACGCGCCCCCACACGCCACTGTGTATTGAGAATGGGTCTCATGTCGCCTTGGTCACCACACTCAGCTGGTGATGCTGTTGAGCCCTTAAACCTCAGTGAATCCGCATGTCTACCCCAGCATCCCATCCCTGGTTTCTAGATGGGTGCTGTGGATCTGAACTCACACCACCTCACAGCCCTCTCTCCAGCCCTCTTAAGTACTTTATCAGTAGAAACAAGGGGCTGGCGAGATGGCTCAGCAGTTAGGAGCACTCTAGAGGACCTGGGTTCGATTCCCAGAACCTCTGTGGTGATTTATGTGTATGACTGTTAACTCCAGTTCCAGGAGACCTAGTGCAGCCTCTCTGGCCTCTCCAGGCACTGGGCTTGATTCTGATGCACAGACATACATGAAGACGAAATATATATAAAATTATTTTTAAAGATTTAAAGTAGAGCCGGGTGCTGGTGGCGCTCACCTTTAATCCCAGCACTGGGAGGCAGAGGCAGGCGGATCTCTGAGTTCAAGGCCAGCCTGGTCTCCAAAGCGAGTTCCAGGAAAGTTGCAAAGCTATACCGAGAAACCCTGTCTCGAAAAAC